ACTGCCTTTCGTTCAAGCTGGTTACATTTCCTCTATACCATATGCTTTTTGAACAGAAATATGTTATCTTACTTCAGCCTTGACTTCCCTACTAGTTTCTTGATCTATGCAGGGACATCTTCCATACCAGAGCAACAGAATAACCCATTTTGTGCTTATACAATCTCTTTGCCCTTGAACAGCTTCATCTACCCTCCAGGTTGCCAAGGTGGCATTAGCTGGTTCTGAAGCCCAATTCTGAGTCTCTGGCTCACAGTAAGGATGTAAGGAATGTCCTTTGAGGAGCAGTTGAGTACTTCAGGTGTATCTAGTTTGGAGAAAAGGCTGAAAGGTGACCTCATTGCTACTGAGGAGGGTAGTGGAGGAGGAGACTCTGGTGCCTTCTCCGTGGTATCTAGTGATAAGAACCTGTGGGAATGGTTCAGTGCTGCACCAGGGGAAGTTTTGACTGGACATTAGGAAGCATTTCTTTACTGAGAGGGTGAGAAAACACTGGCACAGGCTTCCTAGAGAGGTGATGGATGCCCCCAGCCTGTCAGTGTTTTAGGGTTGTTTTTGAAATGCCTTTAACAATGTGCTTTAACTATTGGGCAGCCCTAAAGTGGTCAAGCAGTTGGACTAGATGTTAACTGAATCTGAAATTGTCTATTCTGTTCTAAACAACCCCAGAAGAGACTCACTAGTAAGGAGATGTGCCTTGCAGCAAAAAATACTTCACTGATGTCAGCAACCATATCAGATCTTGTTAAGAGTCAGTTTTTCTTACTAGGGAACACAGAGCCTCCTGTTACTGCCAAAACACCAGGCTGCATTGCCAGTTGCTCCTTTTCACTTGATCTGGCATCTCACTTCACTTTACCACCAAAACCATCACCTCTGAGCTAAGACCCAGTCACAGCTCCCTGCCATCTGCCAGTTGCCATTTCCAGCCCTACACAGTCTTATCTCACTGGGAGCATTCTGCAGAGGCATGGCTGCACTCACCAAAGGTGTGCCTGCTGCTCACACAGACAGCACCTGCACAGCCATGGCAGCACTGACTGCAAACCCACACTGCCCTGCCAGCACGGGAGTGGTGCAGGGTCTGTGCAGGGCCACGCCACCCCAGGCTGAGTGATGTGATTCCCAGATTCCCAGGGTGAGCTGATGGGGTAAAGACCACATGCATTTGAGTCACAGCCCTGGCTGAAGGTAAGAAAAGCTCCACAAGTGCTTCCCAGTCCTTCTGCTCCTTGACAGTGTTAACAGGGAAACTGCATCATTTCCATAATTTAGGCATGAGGAACTGCATTAAAGACTCATGGTAACATGACCAATTTTAAAAGGCAGCAATTCTCAAGTCACTGGGAACTGATAAGGACAAGGACGGCACACAATCACCCTTGGGGAAATGGCTAAGCTAAGGCAAGCTGTAATATAAGAGACAGCGAGTGGGATTCATGTGTAAACTCTGGACACCTACAATGTGCAAATGACTCATCTCATTTGGAAGAGAACATCTATGTTTGGTCACATGAACTGCACTGTTACATTTAGCCATTTCTCCTCCCACATGATTCAGGTATAGTGCTCTGCAATATCTCACTCAGGTGCCTTCATGTTTGAAGAGATAAATCTCACACCACATCTAGAGGTAGTATATCCTCTGCTGAGAAGGTAAATTCTAGGTGCACAAGTGCCCCTGTCAGAACTTGAAATCAATCTTAATTTTTCTCATTTGCTTTTGAATTTCTGAACCTTCAGAACTGGAAAAAACAAGACTTAAAAAAGACCTGCACTTCACCTTCAATAATCAGTATTTTCATTACGATAACAAGTGATTTATTGAAACCAAAAACTAATACTTCTTTTTTGATCTTTTGTTAGAACTAATTAGAATTCCTTTGCATGACTTTCCACTTTGATCTGTAAATCAATTTTTGACCCCACCAGCAACTTGTGAAATATTTATTAGCACAGGAATATTATCACAGCCTGATTATTGTCTAGATCGCCCAGCAGCATACATGCCAGGATGTTATTACTGAGAAACTTGATTGTGGTGTTTGTCTGTAAATTGTGACAGTAATTTTCCATGTCCCCCTCGGCCTTACTACAGGTTTTTGTTTACCCATGTTCTGGTCTGACCAGCACCATTCCATCTTGTCTCTTTGCCTTGCTGTACAGACATAATCTTGCAAAGTAGGATTACAAAATCAATATGATTAAATTAAATAATGGTATTATTATGAAGCAAGCTTCATAAGAAATTTTAATCACTCGTGGATGTCACATTTATTTTAAAAGCAGAATGTCTGATTTATGGTTCGTCTCTATGCCTTGGATATTAAATGTGAAACTATCATTTAAGATGTCTAGAGAAGTATATGCATCATGGAAAAGATGGGTAGAGATTGATCTAGGTATGTTCCCACAGGCCTGTCTAATTTGATGATTTGATTACATTTGAAGCAAACAGATCAAGGTAGGTTCAATACAACAGGTTGTAGGCCTTTGGAATTCCTTAATAAAGAGGCTGTGGATGCCAGAAATTTACATAGTCCCAACAGGAGACCAGAAAAAATACCCTGAGATCTTTTGGGAGTTATCAAACCACCACAGGCTCAGGAAATTCCCTCAACATTGTTGGAAGCTGGGACACCTAGCAAAAGGCATCAACACAGGCTACCTCATTTTAACACTTCCTTGATTGACCAGTTGCAGCCACATTTGGAGATGTAGGGGACTAGATGGCTGCTCCTAAGTTCATAAGGTTTGTAGATGTTTAGGCCAAGGTTCCTCAGAAATGGTTACTAGAGCTGGCATTATTTCTTCGTGGAAAAACACAAGCAAGCATCTAGAGTCAGCATCTAGATTGCAGATGAGTGCTAAGGGCTTAGGTAGGGGAAAATAGGAAAAATATCACAGGTAGTTTATGAAAACGAAAAGCAAGCTGATTGTTTTGAATAAAGTAAATGGATGGGTGAAGGAGGATTCAAAAAGAAGATGACATAGTGAGAATTGGAAAAGTCTTTAAGCTGCAGTCTCAAGGAGCAGGACAAGACTGTCAACAGCAGACAAATCATGGGGAAACAATTACAATGTTGAAAGTCTGAGCAAAAGTTTTGCAGATCAGCTGTGCTGCTTCAGGCTGTCAATGCCATGCTCGGTATCATCCCTCTGGCAACAGCAGTAACAAGTGCATAAGGTATTTTGGTTCTTTCTTGTTAAAGTTCTTATATTAGAGGCTGATACAATACAAATGTAGTCCAAATGCAACTAGAGCAAGAGAAATTGATGCATCTCTCCCTTATCATAGATATCTGGGATTACTGAGGCTTGAAGCCCAACCCAGAAACTGTCCCCACTTTTCCTCAGCTGTGGGAACAGCACAGGCTGTACTCTGTTCCCAAGTTCACTACACCAGGATCTTCACTGCCCTGCCTCCTACCTTTCCCCACCCGGGGTGCAGCTGGTAACCAAGAACTAACTCTCTGCTGCACTACATCAGAAGTACACATTGTACTTGGACCAGGGGGTGAGAAAAGGGTACTTCTCCTCCCTGCCTTCTGCCTGTGAGGCAGATACTGTGTGTCAGTCCTTACAGAAAACCAACAGAGGCCAAGCCCATGGAGGATTAGAAGCAGGGAAAATGAAACTAATGATAGTTACAGGTTCAGGTTGAGGCTCTATTGCCTTCTGATTTCAGCACTCTTCAGCAGGATGTGGCACTGACAGCTTTGTGTCTGCTGCCTGGGATCCTTGCTCAGTCACCATCAGGACATCCCTTTTGCCTTGCTCATTATCTCCCTGCCTGGATGGAAGGACCCCTACCAAGAAGTATTATTTAAAGCTTGCACCCAATGTTTAAACTTGAATAATAAACACAACCATGTTCACAGTGACCAGGGAAATGAAAATTTCAAGGCAAAGATAAAAATCCCTGTCTCGCTCATGTAAGTTGCAGATGACAACTGCAAATCTTTGAGAGAAATATCAGCAGTATTTGTTTATTTTTTTTTTTTTAATCTAAGAACTGCCAAATATAAAATCCATAAACAAGAAGCAGGATCTGTGACCTGGAGCTTTTGTCTGAACACCACTGCTGCAGGCTGTGGTGCAGCACACATGGCCTCCTTTGATGCTGTGTAGTCCAGCTTTTTCCCAGTGTTAATGGTGCTCCGTAGCCAGCCTGTTCCAGAGAGGGACAGCAAGGGCTGGCCATCTTTGTGCAGACAGGTCTGGACAACATCAGAGGCTGTGGGTGAAAGCTGCTCTCTGCACGTTCGGCAAGTCCTCTGCTCTTAGGCTGTTTTACCAGCTCTGGCCGACCCCACATGTGCTTTTAAAAGACAGCATCTGGAAGGGCTTTCTACCGGCAGCACTTAAATCCTGACGCGCCCGCAGATCCAAGACCTTCAGGGCCCGCTGAGGTGCGGGTTCCCCTCTCCCTCATCACTCCCCTCTCTATCCCTAAGCCGCAGGACCGCGTACCCGGACCTGAGCTGCCGTGTGCGGGCTCCGGGAAGGACAAGGGGGGAAGCCCATGCCCGGTGCTGCCGGGACCGCCACCCCGGTGCCACCGGCGTCCCCCGGGCCGGCCCGACACCTTCCCGGGCCGCCTGGCGCATGCGCGGAGCCGCCGCCGCGCAGGGGCTCCTACGGGGACGCGGGCGCCGGGGCCGCCGCCGCGACGTGTTGCGCTCGGAGCCCGCATGGGCTGTGCCGCACCGGCTGCCGCGGCCGCGCCGCTCCCGGCCGCCCTGCTGCGGCCGCGCCCGGCTCCGCAGCCTCCAGCTCTTCGCTGGGATGCCGTAAAGGACCTCTGCCTTCCCGCAGTTCATTCCGGGCTGCTCTCGCCTCCTCCTCTTCCTCCTCCCCACGGCTGCGAGCCCTTTCTTGAACTGCTCCGCACGCTATCGCTGCTCGGGGCAGGCGGGCATTTCCATGCGAGCGCCAGCCGCCCGCTGCTGTAACGAGCATCAGCACATCATCCACCTCCCGCTCCGAATCCGGAGCTGTTTCATTACTTGTGGTGGTGCAGGGACCATTTTTCGGCAGGAAGGTCCAGTGTAAGTTTATTTTCGGCTTCTGCTCTTCTGTACCGGCCATCGGTTTTGTTCACCATCCCCCGGGAGCCGAGGGAACCGAAGTTGCCAGGTAAATGCCCCCTTCCTTGTCTGCAGCGCTTCGGGAGGCGGCTCCGGTCTGCCTGGTTGCATGGCTGCGGCGCCGCTGTTGTACAGCACGGGTTGCGGAGCAGAGGCAGCGCTTAATGGCACAGCTGTCACCGGGCATCTCGTGTCGCCGCCCGCCTCTCGTGATAGGGCTCCGCACGGCTGCGGGCAGCGGGAGGCTGCGGGCATCGGGAGGCTGCCGTGCGCCGCACAGCCGCCGCCGCTGCCGCCGCTGCCGCCGGGGTCGCGGCCGCCCGCCCGGGCCGGCGGGGGCTGTGCGCGGGCCGGCGGGGCCGGGGCGCACGGTGCCGCTGCGGCAGCGCGGCCCCGCCGTCACCGCTGTCGGTGTTGTCCCCGCAGGCCGGGCGGGCGCCGCCCGTCCCCGGGGAAGCCCGGCGGCGTGAGGCCGCCCGCCGCCGCTGCTTATGCAACACATCATCGATAACCACCCCGACATGGCCACGGCGCTGCTGGCGGGCGAGAAGCTGAAGGAGCTCATCCTGCCGGGGCAGCAGGATGACAAGGCGGGCGCGCTGGCGGCTCTGCTGCTCCAGCTGAAGCTGGAGCTGCCCTTCGACCGCGTGGTCACCATCGGGACCGTCCTCATCCCCATCCTCCTCGTCACCCTCGTCTTCACCAAGAACTTTGCCGGTAAGGGCGGCAGGACGGGCAGGGTCGTGTCCCAGTGCATGCTGAACGAGACCGCTGGTGCTGAGCGATGTCAGCCAGCCCTGCCTTGGCGGGTGGGGACAGCGGCAGGGCGGTAGCGGCCACTGCCCGAGCGCCGCTTGTGCTCAGGAGCAGGACGGTGGTGCTGCCTTGGTGGGCAGGGTAGTGGTGTCACCATCCGGACCGGTCCCTGACGGGGACAGCTGCTGCCTCTTGCCTTGGCTGGCAGGCCAGGGGCGGGGAGGTGTCCACTGCCCAGCAGCAGGTGAGAGCTGGCGTGGGTGACAGAGCAGGTTAATGCTTGAGGTAGATCCTGGACGGATCCCGAGCTGGACCCTGGCTGATGTCAGGCATTGTCCTGATCTTACTTCAGGCGTCTACAGCGTGAGTGTTAACTGGCCTACCAGGGAGAGGCTGATGCTTTCATGGAGACAGATACTATATATGGAGCCCCATGCAGTGTGCTTTGCCAGATTGTGACCGTGGAAATCACTGGTGTCTGTTTCTGCTGAGGGTCATCTTGCATAGACTGGTAACAGTTTGAAAGGCCTGGTTTGAGTGTCCATCGCCACTAGTCTCAGAAGGTCAAGTTTTGGTCAGCCTTGAAAATTACTGATCCAGTAAACTGTTATGACACCTTTTGGGCCACTAACACATTTGTAAACATTGTTTTGTTGTGTGGATTGTACACTTGATGAGTGTAGCTGCCAGTGCATGACTGCTTTTAATGTCCCTTGAAACTCCATACTGAAAATCCACGGGAAACTAAATAGATACTTTTTTAAGCTTGAGTTGAAGAGTTCCAGGTTAGTGAATTCAGTTCTCCTTCCACAGAGTTCAAGAGCAAAACTTAGATTAATTTTAATATGATCTTAATCAGATGTTCCTCTTTTAATGAAACAATATTTACTCAGCCTTCTTTACTAAGTCATGCATGTCCAGAGATACTGACTTTGGTAATAACAATAGTTCAGCTGGATTCATGCTTACTATTGATTCTACAGTTTGTGTTGTTTCAGCCATACACTGTCACCAATCTTGAAAAATATCTAACTTTGTGTGCTTTGGATACTGCTTCTTCTGTGCGATTTAAAAAGGAGCTATGCAAGTACAAACTTTGCTGATGAAATTGAGCAAGGTGCCTATTGCCCTTTGGTTTTAAATATCATAATAGCTTCCGAAACTTTGCTTTGGGCCCTTGTGGGCTTATCTGATACTTGCCATTATTCCTCACTCTGTTAATGATATCCAGTGCAAGCTATGTGAAGATACATACATGCCACTAAACTGAAAACAACCTCATTTTCTGGGGTCTATACCATCTTATTTATTCAGTAAAGCTTTGGTAAGGCTTTTGGAACAATGATGTGTGCACTGGAGACATGAAAATGTAGTTGTTTAAAAGCAGTGGTTTCTCACAAAATTTTTTGTTGAGGATTGGAAGAATGCTCATGATAAGTGGGCACAGGAGATCAGAGCCTCATATCTAGTTTGTGTGTGTGCAAAATGTAGCTAAAAGTCAAGACCAACTGTACAGTCTGTCCAACAAGTCTAGAGAGAATTGGCCAGGCAGGGTGGGTGTCCTGCCCTGGGGGTGTGCAGGAGGCACCCCATCATCATGGGAAGCCTGGGAGTCCCCAAGCAGCAGTAAGTCTTCTGGGGCCAGAGGCTGCAAGGAAGAATGTATGAAAGCAAAGTTCAGCCCTACAACAGAGGACAAAGAAAGAGCATGGTGTTTATTTAAAAGATTGTAATTGACAACCTTAAAAATCATTGTGTCTGTAGTATAATGTATTGTATACTCTATTTTGCCCGTTGCTGCCGATAGAGCTACTTAGTTAATTATGTTGTTTTAGTGCCATGGGCAAAGTCATTGTTTAGGTAAATGCATGTGCTTTTCATGTAAGTGATTTGTTTGCCCTTGAATTGGAGTGCTCTAATATTTACATTTATTTTAAGTAATTAAATGACAAATTACTGTTCTACTAGCATAAGAGGCAAGACTTAATTGTTTAGCAGATACTATGCCAATATTGTGAAAAAATCACAATTCATCTGAACTTAATGTGTTACAAAAGACTTTAAATTAATTATTGTGCTTTTCTTCTATTACATGTATCATAGAACAGTCACAAAATGGTTGGAAGGTGCCTTAAAGATCATAGTCAAACTCCCTGCCACAGACATGGATGCCTTCCATTAGACCAGGCTACTCAAAGTCCTGTCCAGCCTAGCCTTGAACAGTTCCTTGAAGAGATGGAACATCCACAACTTCTCTGGATAATCTGTTCCAGTGCCTCACCCCCCTCACCATAAAGAATTTCTTCCTTGTGTTCAATCTAAAGCTGTTTTCCAGTTTGAAACCATTGTCCTGAGATACAGGCCCTGCTAAAAATCTGCCCCCATCATTCCCAAAGGCTTTCATTTAAGTACTGAAAGGCCTCAGGAAGGTCTTCCTGGAATCTTCTCTTTTCCAGGCTGGACAGCCCCAGTTCTCTCAGCCAGCCGTAGAAATTCTCCATCCCTCTGATCATCCTCATGGTCCCTCTGGTCTCACTTGGCAGATGTTTCCTGTGCAGAGGGTTCCAGTGCTGCACCCAGTGCTGCATGTGGAGTCTCATGAGAGTAGAGTAGAGGGCTCATGGCCTGCTGGCCACACTCCATGTTGTGAAACCCTTGATGCTTGGTGTCCTTACAGTCTGGCTCAAGGTGGAAAGAGGGGTTATCATCCTTGGTGTGCTTTTGCTCTATAAATCAATCTGTAACGTAGCTAAAATGTATTGGGGAGATAAGGTTTGTTTCCATACTTCATTACGAGATGGCAGTGCATATGGGGTGAAATTGAGCTCTCTGCAGGAGGAAGGCAAATGGCAGACACACTACTAGGATGTGCTCCTGGAAGTTAATTTCAGGCTGCAAAGGAGGCAGTAAGAGCTTGACCATTGATTTCAATGGGGACAGGACAACTCAAATGGTTGAAGTAAGATATGATTCTTGCACTGGCCCCCACTTCCTAAAGGTTTTTCACAGGAGGAAAGAAAGTCATGTAGCTAACCGCCTACAGTGTCATTTCTGAGTCTCCTAATTCTCCTTTGTTTTTCAAGCAAACCAGTGTGATTCCAGAAAGGACACCTCTAGAAAGTTAATTAAAATAAATCCATGAGCCATATTTTTACTGAGCGTAAGATCTTCATAAAGTCATCTAGGAGCAATACTCAGCTGCCCAACACAAAGAAAGCCCACATGAGCACTCACAAAAGAAGAAAGAATATTATTTCCCTTTCTAAAACTCAACCATAAATGGACTTCATATAAAACTGGCATATTCTCTATTTAGAGGCCAATGCATTATGACCTTGAGGATAATAAAGCTTTTGAGGCATTTTTCTCTCACCTAGTGGATGGAATCTGTAGTTAACTGTGGGTTTTCTGGTTTCCTGGAGTCAGTGTGCTCTCAGAAGGCAGCACAGGCTACAGGAAACTTCTCTAATAGCAGTGTCTTTGTTGAGGTAACAATGTGTGCAGTGAGTGGTCCCAAGGGAACTTTGGTTTGCTCTGGTTTTTTTTTGAAAATTGCTTTAAAGATAATGACTAAATTTTTTTATTTAAATATGAAGGCAAATGTGTTTGAAATTCTGTCAGAACAGTGACATAACCCCCGTCACACCCTATATAGTCTTAGGCATCTTCTGGAGCACTCGTGCAGATGTGTATGCAGTGCTTTTCAGAGATCCATGCTTGTATTTGACTCTCTGAAAGTTCCATTTCTCATACTGAGCTTTTTATTTCCTAGCAGTTAGTTATTCTTGTGCAAACTAGACATAAAATGCTACCAGTATGAAGCTCAATACAACCAGCTCAGATTTCATAGCACTGTACTGTCCCAGTGTATGAATAGGTGACTATACCAGGTACTGCCTGGTGGTAAAGCAAGTTTTATGTCTGTTAGTATAGGTTGTCACTTTTGTGTTTCCATTTTAGCTGTGTTGAACCCTGCTGTATTGTTCCCTTTTCTATGATAAAAGTTTTGGGATTTTTTTTATTTGAAGTGTTTCTTTGTTAACCTACATCAGCCTTAGGTTAATATTTAGTGAAAGAAATGGTGATATACCAAACTTAATTAACTTTTAGAGGGTAAGGATTTAAGGTACGTAGTCTTAGTCCAGCTGTAGTCTGTGTTGGTTTTCAGAACTGGTTTTTAGTTTCAAAGTTTCAGATCTCTTGTCAAGTCATGGAGAGTCTGGAATGGTATAGGTATAGATAAACATGATTAGTCCATCAGCCTTTCCATTTTCACTTCCTTTCCAAAATGCACAGAATGTGGACTGCCAGTTTGAGGTGGGTCTGTTTGATGTTCCATCTGTTTTTTATCCTTCACCGGGGATCCATGGCAAAACCAGGGAGACCCTGTTTTTGCCATGGTATCAGTACACACAGGCTGCAGCCATAAGTAGGATGCTGCTGTATCTGTAGGACAGATGCTGTATCCTCTCCTCCATGACTGGCAATGGTGCTACGGCTGCAGGTGGCAGCCTTTGGTACTGAGTGTCTCATGGCATTTGCTGAACTTCCAGGACCTTGTTCTATAATCCAGTAGATTCAGAGACACTTGGCTTTCATGAAGTGCTGCTTAGTTCTTTTGTATCACTTAATGTTTTTAGTGAGTGGTTTAAATATTCCAGTGTTGTGCTGGGTTGAGAAGCAAGCCCATCAGTGATGTCCGTGTGAGGTTCTCTCCGTAAGGGACCAGAGAGTGGTGGGTTCCAAAGGAGATTACATTGCTGGTTTTGTTTTCTTCACAATATTGAAATATTTTGGTTTCCAAACTGATGTTATAATGGTATTGCTAAGTCATATCCCTCATACTTTCTAGCCACAGTGAATTATTCTTTCCATATTTCAGTCATGTTTGCTTTTCCCACCCAAGCTGTTAAATGCCAGTATTTTATTAAAATAAAGCAAAGCATTCATCCAGTTGATTT